TTCTGGTCCAATTTAACTTACTTGACTTCCTTTGGAAATGCCAAGCTCTGGCCACTGTATTTTTGGTTCGGAAACAAGTCAAAATATTGTTGCTGTAAACCTTCTTCTAAACTATGCAAACATATAGCTTATTCTCAAACTGTAAATTATTTCTGTTATTATTGTGCAATTTGAGTGTCTGACTAAAATTTTTGACAGCTTCCTGACTCGTTCAAGGATTGGGTTATTGAGCGCACTGATGGCAAAATACCCTTTACTGCCTTTATGAAACATTGTCAACATGAATTCTTCCATGCTCAATGGTATATCTTATTTGATGTTAAATTTAAAGAGGCATACAAGCACAGTATAATGGTGTGCTGCTCTGACAGTATTTGACACAGGATAGCATGTGTGGATGCCTTATGGTGGGTGTTTTTACAGCATTTAAGTGCTCGCAAAGACAATACAAGCCTCATGTATGATGTTTACAAGCTGTGCCCAAAGAAAACAGGCATATTTGGTACCAAATCTGGCTTTTGTTGCATGTACCTGCTTATAGGACACTCAGGTATATGCCGTTGCCTCAATTGTTGGAGGGCTTATACTATGGAACAGAATCCAGCTCACACCACCCTTGAAGAATTTGCAGAGAGTAAACTGACATTCAAACAGCTTGAAACCATGATCACACACCTGACAAAACTCAAAAAGGCCAATAAACAAGACATGTAATTGCAGATTTAATTGACAAAGGTCTACAGCTACTAGGAAAAGATAATAAAAATGAGAGTGAGGGAATAGAAGACAACAAAGTTACCTTGATGATGTGATTGTGGAGAAGGTGGACATTTAGAACACCCCAGACCCCCCAGACTGTTGCTGTAAAGCTGGTTAATATGATGGAATCAAAGTCTCATGTGACTTATGTTCTCTTTGTCCTATATATACAGTTTCACACTGGAGTCATCATGGCACTTGTTAGCAAGCTGGTATAGCAGGGACTGAAATGGCGCGGTACTAACCATTGTGTCCCTCCAGACCACAGGTGCTGCATTTATTTTTGCGTGGGGCAAGTACTGGCAATACATTGTCTGTAAGAGTGCGGTTGGGGAGAGGAGTAGTGAAAAGTGGAGACTTTGCTAATACACAAGGTAGAATCTATGCAACCAGAGCAATAATTTCTAACCTATATTTACCACACTCTTCCCACCTTGTCTTCTTCTTCACCTCCTCAACACTGGTATTCTTGAATTGGTGTGGCAAATCAATTTGATTCACTATGTTATTCTTCATGACAAGCAAGGGGCCCAAGTTGACTAAGTTGGCCTCACTGTAGACCAACTTAGTTTTTTCTACTCTCCATACACAAAGAGCCTTGCATAGTGCAATGTCTTTGACGTCCATTTGAAATGGTGGAAGTTGAGACAGTTTGGAGGCTTGATAATACAAGAAGCGAGGTCACAATAAGCAAGAGAAATGGTTTGGGCGATGAATGTCACAGCAAATAGTGGGAGTGAGTACTGAGCAACAATCACAGCCTTTTGGGGTCACAAATATGATGGTCAGACTCTGAGTTAAATGTGAGAAGATCATGTTATTCATAATAGGATTGTGGCTGTTCTCACTTTGATTGTCAAAGTATATATCAAACACCTTCCTTCTACACTTTACCATTGCATGCGAATCCGCATTGATTAGGTAATCAATGCCAGTGCTGAGTTCATTTTTGAGTCATTTCATTTTCCAGCTATTTTTTGATAAAATTGGATAATGACCAGACCAGGGATTGAACCTGGAACCTTCTGGATACATGCCAGCTGCTCTACCAATTGAGCTATATGGCCAAGGTTATACAATGTAGGATCTTAAACATGACATGCAACCACGAACGTCTTACACAGAATAGCTGCTGCATACTGGGCTGGCTTACAAATCAGAGGTATTATCCTATGGAATATTGGTATGTCAGAGTATATTCTAACACTCCCTCCTGATCTGACATATTCATATATGGTAAGTTTATAAACATAGCCAAACATGTAAGAATGACTAAGCTCATACAATAGCATAATAAAGCACCAGGGCTCATAACCTATTAAGAACAAAGCTTGAAGGAAGTGTCTAGCCACTTGCTGAGAGCAATCAGGGACTGGAACTAGAGTCCAATGTGAGTAACTATATTATTAGAGAGTATGACAGGTATACAGTACCTAGAGTCCAATGTGAGTAACTAGAGAATAGGAAGCATTGGACTCTGCAGTACTGTCCGAAGTTTTGTAAACAAAGGTAAACAAAGCAGCCACAAAGGCGAAATAATAGAGAACACAATCAATAGTGAATGATAGAAGAATAGATAGAGAAAGGAATGAAAATATATAGGTAGCACAAAAGTGCAGAATCACCAAAACTAACACTCCCCCCTGATGCTGCACCTCCCAAGCATCAGCTCCCCCCTGATCTAATAAGTCCCATCATCTTCCTGAACACTTCCACTTTAGGCTTGGCAAGAGCCTTGGTCAACAAGTCTGCAGGCATTTCAGCAGTGGGAACAAAGGTAGGAGCAATCTGCCCAGAGTCAACAACATCTCTCAACCAATGCCATCGCAGATCAAGGTGTTTCATCCGACCATGGTGCTCAGGGTTCTTGGATACAGAGATGGCAGATTGGTTGTCAATATGAAGGGTGGAAGGAGAGGTGATAGGATAGCCCATTTCCTTCAACAAATTTCGCATCCAGCAGATCTCTTTGCCAGCCTCAACAGCAGCAATGTATTCTGCTTCAGTGGTGGACAGAGCAACAATGTTCTGAAGCTTGGAGCTCCAGGAGACAGCACCAGATCCCATCTTGACAATATAGGCACCAGTAGAACGACCAGAGTCCTTGTCACCACCATGATCAGCATCAGAGAAAGTGGTGAAGAGTTCAGTGGAATTGGGATCAGGACCCAAGGACAAGGAAATGATCAAGGGTGCCTTGCAAGTAGCGGAATAAGTGCTTGACAGCACTCCAGTGAGCAAGACCAGGATTAGAGTTATATCTGGCAAGGACTCCAAACAGTGAAGGCAATGTCAGGACGAGTGGTAGTGGCCAGATACATCAGAGCACCAGCAGCAAGGTAGGGAATGTCCTTCATCAAAGCAGCATCACTGGATGTTTTGGGAGACATGTTTTTGGTGAGGTGCAAACCAGGATCCATGGGAGTGGACACAGGCTTGCAGTCCTTCATGCCAAAGCGCTCCAGAATGTCCAGAGTGTACTGATATTGGGAGAGGGAGATGGTGCAATTACTTAGGTCTCTAGTGATGGAAATGCCAAGTAGGTAAGAAGTAGGGCCAAGATCACAAAGCTTAAAGTGCAGGGAGAGGTCCTTGACAGCTTGATCAAGTGCAGAAGTAGAAGTGGATGCCAGTGTCATGTCATCAACAAAGACAGGCAGGATAATGCGCACATCAGCTCTGTTCAAGACATAGATGGCAGAGTCTGAATAAGTACGCTTGAATCCGAGTTTTTCAAGCACAGTGTGCATCTTCTGGTTCCACATTCTGCCTCCCTGCTTTGTCCCATAGATGGCCTTGTCCAACTGGCAAACAAGATTGCGAGGACCCTGATGGAATCCCTCTGGCTGATGCATGTAGACCTTGACATCCATGACTCCATTCAGGAATGCATGGGAAATGTCAATGGAGCACAAATGGAGGTTGTGGATGGCTGCAATGGCAAGGACAACTCTGATGGATGATATGCGGACAGTAGGTGCAAATATTTCGAGGAAATCAAAGCCAGGGCGCTGGTTATAACCTTTGGCCACATATCTGGCCTTGTAGCGCTCAACAGTGCCATCTGAGTTGCGCTTGATCTTGAAGACCCACTTGCCACCAATAGCCTTGACTCCAGGAGGTAGTTCCACTAGTGACCAAGTACCATTGCGCTCATGAGCTTGAAGCTCTTCCATGGCTGCCTCTCTCCATTTATCTGCATCAGGACGCTTCATTGCATCTGCAAATGACCTAGGCTCAGCAGAGTCTCCAAAGTGTGCCACTTCATCATCAACTGCCTCAGAATCACTGTCATCACTCTCAATGGCAGGAGTAGGTTGTCTGTGTTGAAGCCACCATGGTCTAGGTGGTCTCCTAGCCCTTACAGGGCATCTCAGTGCAATAGGCAAGTCAGGAGAAGGTGAGCGATGAGGAGGGTGATTTGGAAGCTCAGGAGGTTGATTCACAGGTGGTTTTGCATCAAGGTCCAAATGAGGCCCATTGTCAGGCAATGGCTGAGGCTGCTGAAGCGCAGCTGGTGGGCCCATATCTCCCCCTGGACCTGGTGCAGGGACATCCTCAATCAGGCCCAATGGCATGGATAGCGAAGGTGGAGTGGGAGGTGGAGGCGGGACATTGTCAGAAGACCTCTTCAAGCCAGGGAAGTAGCGCTCATCAAAATCAGCTCTCTCAGAGATAACAGTGTACTTGGTGGTAGGATTGTAGAATTTCCATCCCTTGTACCCCTTGGGGTAACCAATGAACATACATTTCTCCATATGAGAGCCAAAGACGCCTCTTTTGTCCTTTTGCACATGCACATAGGCAGTGCAGCCCCAAACGCGAAGGTGAGACATGTCAGGCTTGCGTCCATACCACAACTCAAAGGGAGTGGCATGGGCCAATGCATCAGTGGGACATCTGTTCCAGACATGCACCAAAGCGGACAGACATTCACCCCAGAAGCTGTTAGGCAATGCAGACTCTGATAACATGGCAGTGATACGCTCAGTCAGAAGTCTGTTTGCTCTCTCTGCCACACCATTCTGCTGAGGACGATTCCTGGTGGTATGCTGTCTGACAATCCCATGGTCATCTGTGAATTGCTCAAATGCTTTGGACATGTACTCTCCCCCTTTGTCATCGCGCAGAGCCTTGATTTTACGCTCCAATTGAGTCTCAGCATAAGCCTTGAATCTCTTGAAAGCATCAAAGACATCTGACTTGGCCTTGAGAGGCACAACAACACGGAATCGACTGTGATCGTCAATGAAGGTGACCCAGTAGCGATAACCAGAGAATGTGGGGGAAGAGACTTGGTGTACATCAGAATGGATGAGGTCCAAAGGATGAGCAGAGCGAGTATCAGATGAGGGGAATGGATTGGCATGCATCTTGCCAGACAAGCACAGTTCACAGACAGGATCAGGAGCAGCCTTGGATTCCAGTGTAAGCCCAGTGACCAGATCTCTCTGTATCAGTCTCTTGACATCAGCATGATGGTGGTCAGCCAATCTGCGATGCCAGAGCATCAAATCAAGTGGTATAGTCGCAGTAAAATGTCCCAATTCAACACAAGCAGCAGTAGATCCATCAAGAAATGCTGCATTGTTGTCATTGATAGTTGCAGTGAACAAGAGAGTGTTGTCACGCATAAAGGACATGGAATGAGACGAAATAGTGACATTGAAACCACTTTGACGAGTTAAATACAAGACTGAGAGGAGATTATTTTGAAGATCTGGTACATGGAGCACTCTAGAGAATTCCACAGCCCTAGCCACTTTGCCATTCATCACAGGATTAAACACCACAGTACCAACACCAGCTGAATAGACAACAGTGTGATCAGCCAGCTTGATTGGCACACGATATGGGGTATAGTGGTGCACCCAATAACGATGAGGTGTCATATGAGAAGTGGCGCCTGTGTCTGCATTCCAATCAATGTCAGCATCAAGTTGGAGAGGGAAATGAGGATCAGAGGGATGAATGGAACAAAGACTTGCATTTCCAGCTGATTCAGTGACCACAGTAGATGAATTGGCATTGTTGGGCGAAGATTTGGGCTGCTGAGAGGTATTCTGAGAGTTGCTGGAGCCTGCCTGAGCCTTATTGCCACGCTTGTAGCAATTCTTAGCACCCTCCACTGCCTGTTGGCAACTAGCAATGTATCTGTGGCATTTGTCTTGGGTATGACCAAGTAAACCACAGAAATCACACTGAACGCGAGTAGAGGTGGTGGATTGGTTGCAATGATGGCAGTTAGAATGGGTGCAGGTGCTATTGGCGGTGGTAGACGAAGAATGCAAGGCAGAATTGACTTCAGCACAACAACGGCGATTGACCTCTTCAGCAAGGAAAGCATCCCTGAGCTGGGTCTTGTCCAAGGTGCCCAGAAGTAGTAGAGATGAAGTGAAGTGGGCATATTGATCAGGAAGCGCCCTAATCATGGCCATGCATGTTAATTCATCGTCCAATTCAGACAATGAGAAGCCAGTAGGACGAAGATTTTGAATCTGATGCATGCCTTCGTCAATTCTGGTCATGAGAGACTGCAGGGACTCGTCCTCCTTCTTTCTGATAGAGAATAAGTCGTCATAGGCATAAAATCTTGTCCCAGGCTTCTTAGAGACGTGCACAATTGCCAGTTTCTCCCAGATCTTGACAGGATCATCAATGATGCCATCAAGATGGATGCGCTGCTCTTTGGTGACATTGAGGTATAATGCACCAGCAGCCTTTTCAGCTCTCAACTCCCATTTCTCTATTGCTTCAGCGTCAGTCCCAGGACACTTTTCAGCGCCAGAGACGAGCCTCCACAGTCCCTTGGTCATCAACCAAGCTTGCATTTCACCACTCCACTGGGGGTAGTTAATGCCAGACAAGGGATGGAACTTGGGATCAGAGTCAGACATGATGGGTGTTGTATAAGACAACAGAGCAATGATAAATGATGTAGGAGACGGCTATAGGCGATGGAATAGTGGCAAAGACAATGGGCAACAGTAGTAGGCGAGCAGATAAGATGGTGAGGCGGTAGAGAGAGGATATGGAGAGGGTCAGAAAGCGCAAGGATAGGTCCAAATAGGGTCCAAAAAGCGTCCAAAAGTGATCCAGGAGGGTGCTAAGGCTTCCTAGTGCTGCTACAGGGTTACACCTGTGTTCCCCTTTCAATACTACACTGATATTAACAGAGAAATCGCCTCGAGACAGTGTTGGTTAATAGGGCTTGTATATGAGTCAACAAAGTGACTTAAGCTCCCAAAACACCGCAGACTGAGAGAGGCTCTAGGCAACAGCAAACTGAGGCAATGCAGGCGAGCTTCACAGTCTATAGGCTTGTTCTATCTGATAATGGACAGAGTAGAGAAGATTGGAGCTTTATGCACACACCAGATATGCCAAAAAGCGAAAAATAGGGCAAAAAGTCGAAATTGATGCAGAGACAGATAAGATGGATGGATTGCCACCAAATCAGAGGTATAGGGAACATTTTTATAGAGTAATAGATGGCCCAAATATCACAAGAAGTGAAGCACAGGATGTGGAGATATGCAATAGGAGTCCAATAGGGGTGAAAGTGCCAAAAATGCGAACTTCACAGAGGATGATGGAGTGGATGGATTGCCCCCAAATTGAGGGTGTAAAGTGCAATAGTATAGGGTAGTAGATGGCTCAAATAGGGCCAAGATCCGAGCACAGGATGTGGAGATATGGAATAGGGGGCCAAAAGGTGATCAAATGATGATGAAGGCTCACAGAAAGATCCAGCTCAAATCCAACCGCTCTGACAGGTCTCCTAGGGTTATTTAGGCCGTAGAAGACGACGGTAGAAGTTACAGGACGATCAGATAAGGATTGGGCGAGATATGGTGCAGATAAGACCAAAAAAGCGTCCGAAATGGGGGTAACTTGCAACAAGGAGTTGTTGTTGGAGATCAAGATGAGATCAGAGTAATCTGAGGTGATGGATGAGATAATAAGAGTCCCAGAAGACGATGGTTACGATGGATAAGCAGTAGGACACTTGGATGGTGAGATATGAGGTCAGGAAGATGGCTAGAGCACAGGGCTCATAACCTGATAAAATTGGATAATGACCAGACCATGGATTGAACCTGGAACCTTCTGGATACATGCCAGCTGCTCTACCAATTGAGCTATATGGCCAAGGTTATACAATGTAGGATCTTAAACATAACATGCAACCACGAACGTCTTACACAGAATAGCTGCTGCATACTGGGCTGGCTTACAAATCAGAGGTATTATCCTATGGAGTATTGGTATGTCAGAGTATATTCTAACATTTTTTTGGGCCTTAACAAATCTCAGCTTATTATTGCAAGACAGTGCCCTGACGGTAGGCAAACATTTTTCATCCATATCTTCTTCCTCTTCTTATTGGGTTTTGGATGATACAGAGTCATCATGAAGTCCATGATTAGATATGTTCCTGAGAATCCCAGTTGACATGTGGTCCTGTAGATCATTTTTGAGGTGCATGAGGTGAAATTTTCTTTTTTTTTGTTTTTTGTCTTTTATTCTTTGTTTTTTATTTTTTGTTCTTTGTTTTTGTCCTTTCATCATTGGAAAACTGCTTTTTGGCAAATATAATGACTACTCCCACTAGACTTCTATCACGTATCACTCACCCTATCCGCTGCCCTAGTGTAGTCAAGATTAACTTGACCTTTTTTGTGTGGTCAGCAACCTGCCACTGTATTAAGTTTACATCTGAAATATACATGCTCTTGTTGCATGTGTTAGCACTGACTCTTCTTTTCAGGAATTGACTTACCATGCCAAAGGAATCTGTGGTATATAAGCTCCAGATTTCATCTTGATGCAGTCATTTATACTGCACTTCCATGAAGCTTGTTGACATGTCTGAATTAAACCAGACTATTTTGTTTTGTAGATCTGGAACTATCCTGCTTTGTAAGTACTTTGCTGCATCAACTGAGTCTTATATATTATCAAAGAAAACTAGGAACTTGTCCAGTGGTCAATCACATGCCTTCCAGCCACTTGGTATCAAGAAAGCAAGATCCAAGTAAGTTGTGAGTGGATGCTCTATCTTCTTGACCCCAATGCTGATATTTGGGTGATCAGTGGAACAATCTACAGTCAGAAGTTGGTCTGAATGAATTTGGAGGAGTTGGTGACTATCATTGAGCATGTCAGGTGTAAATGTGGCTGAAGTGACTAGGAAAGGAATGGTGGGTGGTATTATGTACTGAAGACGGCCAAGTTCTCGGTACACTGGTCAAAATTCACCCTATTTAGTGATGCAATAGGCCTCATTGAAAACAATTGATATTATACAGCTATGGTGGAATAACAGCTGTCTCAACAGCTTCTCCCGACTTCATGGCTTGCTCCGGACTGATGATTATGGCCCAATTGCCTATGCAATTAACTAATTGTTGTGACATATTCTCAATTAGGAGATACAGGTGCTTACCCACAAATTCACTGGTGATGCTGTCTCTGAGTGAATAGTGATAGCTGGTATTCCAGCTTTCTGATAAGACTTAGTGTTCTGTAGGCCCAAGAGATTGAGTGGAGTAATTACTTGAATGTCATTTACTCGAAGCAGCAATAGTATCGTGAAAGCGGGGGTCTTGCCAAGGCCTGTGCCTGTCACGACTTGAACCAGAAGCGCTAGTCTGAGCGCTAATTTCCTTTTTCATTTTCTTTGATATCTGATCACATGACAGATAAGATATGTTAAGCTGCTGCTTTAGCGCGGATAACATAAATACGTAGTTATATCAGATCACGTGACCATCACGTGACATAAGCCTAGAATCATTACAAAGAACATCAGTCAGCGCCTCATGGCTGCTGCATGTTAGCTCAGTCAGCGCCTCATGGCTGACTTTCAGAAACATATATATAGTAGACCATCATGTACATATTTTCCTCAGTTGTTGATTAATTCTCAATCGTTACTTGAAAACGCTACTTGTTTGATTTAAGCTTTTATCCCTCCGTTAACTCGGTATAGGGGATAGAGGTTTTACACAATCAACAACTGCTACAAGTACCGTTTATGAACATAACAGCAACAATCCTAACAACCATCATCGTCACCATTATCATCATCTTACTCATCCTAACCTTACTCAAACACTCAACCCAAACCACCACTACTCTTCCACTCCATCACATCCCCGCTCGCCCCAACACCATATTATCTTTCTTTCCCGCCAACGTATCACCCTCATCCTCCCAAGACTCTTTTGTCACTATCCCCCTCTAGTTACACTTTTATATCATCATAATCTCTTTGGTGTGGAACCACTGGGATTTTCTCGGTTTTACCTAGTTTCATTTTCGATTTCCTCTGACCAGGCCGCGCATTTGCGTCCGCCAGTCGGGAGAAGGACTGAAAGCCTAATAAGCTGGTCACATTGGGACAACCGTTCGGACCCCAATTTATCACTATACTTTTTACATAAAATTCGTAAAATACAAAAATAGTTACCATACCTACATAGTCAGTAGTGGGCTGAAGAGGACCACTTTGACTCAAAGAGAATAGATAGACTACTAGGATCTTAGAAAGCGGTGTATCGATCCAGCTTATCACTGGTGAACTCCTTTCTATGCTTAGTAGAGAATTTTACATTTGGATCGGAGAGCAACACATTTACTCTCAAGATTACGTATTCAAAGGGCAATTCCCTTTACCAGAAATAGAACCCATTAGAATCCCATCCCCTTTAATCAAATCCGAAACTCCCCCTCCTCCCCAACTCACGTTCAATGTCCAACCTAGAATATCGCGATCTGCCCGAGCCATCCAACAGCACGGACAGCGCATTTACCAGGGAAATGATGGACGCATTACCCAGAATAGACACTCCCCCCCCGAAAGAAGCGCGATTGGAAGCATACGTAAAACAAGAAGTAGAAAAGGCAATAAGACAGACACAAATGCACTACCAATCGCAGCTAGACGAGGCACTCGAAGAAGTGAGCGTCTTGCAAAGAAGATTAAAGAAACAGATACCGCCACCTCCAGAAAAGGTGGAAAGAAGTAGAACGGCACTGGAGAAACCCGAGAACTTCTCCGGAGATAAAAAGAAGTATAGGGCCTTTAGAGAGTCCTTATTACTACATTTCGAAGACGATGCCGTATATTTCAAAGATGACCGAAAAAAGATAAGCTTTGTGCTATCTTTTATGAAAGAAGGAGAAGCCGCGGCCTTCCGGACCGATTGGCTAGAGAACCGAGTCGACGCCCAACAACTGGGGCTCGATATTACAAACACGTACGGAAGCTGGCCGTATTTTGCGGACAAAATGGAAGAAAGGTTCAAGGACAGTTTTGAAAAAGAAACTGCCAAGAACGAAATATTGACCCTGAGACAGGGCAATGAAACCGCCCAAGCCTTCTTTGAAAGGTTTGAAGAGAAGAAAAGATGGGCGGGATACACAAATAGAATAAATGAAGAGTTCCTAGTGTCTCTACTCAGAAGGAATATGAACAAGCCGCTAGTGGATAGGGTGATCTACGGCGGGCACATTCCAAGAGATTACCAAGAGTGGAAAAGGGAACTCATCAGAATAGACTATATTTGGAGAGAGAGAGAAAAAGAGAAAAAAGGTTCCGATACTGGGAAGAAACCCTACTCGGAACAAAAGAAAGAAGGAGAGAAGAAGAAAGATGGAACCGGATATACCTATACCGGTAGCGGAGAAAGAATGGAGGTAGATAAAGCAAAGTTCCGCACAGAGGGACGATGCTACCGATGCGGAGAAAAGGGACATAGAAGCTTCGAATGCAAAGACGCACAAAAAAGGAAGCCACAATTTAATGTCCGAGAGTTCTTAGAAAAGATGACGAAAGAGGAAAGGGAAAAACTCCTTGAGGGTTTTTAAAGAGGCCAGCGGTACCGCATCGACCGACTGAGCCTAAAGACGTTTTGAATCGGTTTCTTCCTTTGACTGTAGATACATGTGACTCAGAATTGTTACGCTGCAGCTTTAGCGCGGATGACAATAAAATTATTTCCACTCAGACAAAGAAAGAAATCCGAAACGAAAAAGATGCAACTAGAGTAAAAGCGGCGCAGAGTGATAAGACATCCGCAGTTCCGACGGCGGGCGAATCACTAAAAAGCGCAGCATTTACGATAGAACCTAAGATTCCTACACCCGATGCGGCGAACTCTACGGAGGAAAACGCAGCAGAGACTGTAGAAGAAAGGTCAGGAACCCCTTTAAAAAAACCTAGAACAGAAGTTTGGACCCCAGAGTGGGTAGTAGACAGGCTAAGAGACCAAAAGGAAGAAAGATCCATTGGGATTCTAAGTGCCTGGACACATAAAAAAAGAACGAGAGAAGTAACCCGGGAAACGATCAAAGAAATCAACCGGTTACCAAAAGTAGAAGCTATACAAGCGATCATAGAAATTGCCTCCCCAAAAAAGTACATTAGGGGCACCCAAGGCAATCAAATGAACGTAAAATGTAAGCTTACTACATTAGATACTCTCCAATCAGAAACAGTCGAAGCACTATTGGACAGTGGATGCACGGGGAGTTGCATCGACTCCCAATTTGTGAAAGACAAAAGATATGAGACAAGGAAGATACCGAGACCTATTCCAGTCTATAATGCAGATGGAACTCTTAATAAAAACGGAGCCATCAATGAATTTGTAATACTGCTCATGGAAATCGACGGACACGTCGAAAAGATACATCTTGCCGTAACCAATCTGGGTAACGGAAAAATGTTTCTAGGACATGAATGGTTGAACAAACATAATCCTAAAATAGACTGGAAAGAATCGAAGTTGACCTTTGAAAGGTGTCCTGAAGAATGCAGACCAAGGATCCGAATCTCTGATCCAGAGGAAGATCCTGAAATATTCTTTGAGGAACTACGAGAAGATGAGAGGATGATACAGGTGAATCTCCATAATTTCGAAGATGCCACGATCGACAATCAATATTACCATATCAGAGCCCAAGGCACAATGGCACAAAAGCTAGCAGAAGCTGCAGGCAAAGATCGAAAAGAAGGAGGATTCGAAAAGATAGTGCCAAAACACCTCCATCAATACAAAGACGTATTTGATAAAAAGGAGTTTGACACATTACCTGAAAGAAGACAATGGGATCACGCAATCGAACTAATACCGGGAGATCACTCCCTAGATTGCAAGATCTATCCATTGGCAAGAGGAGAGCAAGAAGAACTAGATGTGTTCCTAAAAGAGAATCTGGAATCGGGACGGATAAGACCATCGAAGTCCCCATTCGCATCACCATTCTTCTTCATTAAAAAGAAAGACGGGAAGTTGAGACCAGTTCAAGATTATAGGAAGCTAAACGATATCACCATCAAAAATAGATATCCACTTCCGTTGATCGGGGAACTAGTAGACAAATTGAGTGGAGCCAAATACTTCACAAAATTGGATGTAAGATGGGGATATAATAACATCCGAATGAGAGAAGGAGATGAGCATAAAGCGGCGTTTAGGACAAATCGGGGATTATTCGAACCACTAGTCATGTTCTTCGGACTGACAAATTCCCCCGCCACGTTCCAAATGATGATGAACACGCTTTTTAGAGAGTTGATAGATGAAGGATTAGTAATCATATATCTAGATGATATCATGATATTCACAAAAGATATAGAAACGCACCGAGCAACGACGCGACGTGTGCTAGAAATCCTAAGAAAGAATCATCTCTATCTTAAACCAGAAAAATGCGATTTCGAACAGACAGAAGTGGAATACCTGGGACTGATCATCTCAGAAAACGAAATTCGCATGGATCCGGTGAAAGTAGAAGGAATCAGCAAATGGCCAGAATGCAAAAATAAGAAAGACATACAAGCATTCTTGGGATTTGTGAATTTCTATCGAAGGTTCATAGAAGGCTTCGGGGAAGTAGCCAAACCATTGACCAAGTTAACGGGAAAAGAGGATTTCATTTGGGGAAATGAACAACAAGAAGCATTCAACACATTAAAACAACGTGTAGCTTCAGCCCCGGTGTTAGCTCTCCCAGTACCACATGGCCAATACAAAGTAGAAGCAGATAGTAGTGACTTCGCTATGGGTGCTGTCTTATCACAAAGACAAAAAGATGACTGGAAGCCAATTGCATACCTCTCCAAAGCGTTAAACCCCACAGAACGCAATTACGAGATCTATGACAAAGAACTTCTTGCCATCATGACGGCACTTAACGAATGGAGGCATTACTTAATAGACGCGGAAGAGGAATTTGAGATATGGACAGATCATCAGAATCTGCTGTATTTCAAAGAACCAAAGAAGTTGAATAGGAGACAGGCGCGGTGGATGACAGAGTTGAGCCAGTACCATTTCACGATACATCATATGCCAGGAAGGAAGCATATAAAAGCAGATCTTCTCTCCAGGCGATCAGATCATAACAAAGGAGAAAACGACAACGAAGACGTCGTGTTACTGGATGAGAAACTATTTGTAAGAATGACTCTCTCTCCAGAACAAAGACAAAAGATCGCAGACAGTCAAGAGAAAGAATTGGAGATTTCAAAGTGGATTACGAAAAGAAAGGGAAATGTAGATGAGCTGATAAAAAAGATGAAAGGAAAGATAGAAAGGAGAGAGGATGGTTGGCTAGACGAAGACGGTTGCATAGTATTCAAAGGCAGGATCTATGTACCGAAGGATGCCGCGCTAAGGGAAGAGATTATCCGACGAAACCACGACTCTGTTATTGCAGGCCATCCAGGAAGATATAAGACAAAGGAGCTAATTACTCGACAATACTGGTGGCCCTATATGGACAGAGATATCACAAGATACGTAGATGGATGCGAAGTCTGCCAAAGAACCAAAACAGACCATAAAAAGAAAGCAGCACCGCTTCATCCAAATGAGATCCCGGATAAACCTTGGCAGATCATATCAGTAGATCTGATCGGACCGCTACCAGAATCAAATGGATATAACATGATAATGGTAGTAGTAGATCGGTTTACAAAAATGATCAAGGTAATTCCCACGCAAATGGAGATCACATCAGAAGGAGTGGCACGACTATTTAGAGATCATGTATTCAGGAACCATGGCATACCCGAAAAGATCATCTCAGATCGGGGACCGCAATTCGTTTCGAAATTCATGAAAGATCTACATACGCTTCTTCAGATAAAGGCGAACCCATCAACGGCTTGGCATCCACAAACGGATGGACAAACGGAGAGGATCAATCAAGAGATAGAACAGTATCTCAGAATCTTCGTAAACCATAAACAAGATGATTGGGCAGAATGGCTTACCCTAGCAGAATTCTCTTACAATAACAAACAACATTCTGCGACGGGATATAGCCCGTTCTACCTGAATCATGGACATCATCCGAGAACACAGGAAGTAGTGAAAGTGGGGGTAAAAAACGAAAATGCAGAAGATTTCGTAAAGAGAATGACAGAAACAAGGAAGAGAGCAGAAGAATCGCTGCAAAAGGCAGCTGAACAGATGAAGAAGCAGTACGATAAGAAGAAAAGAGAAGCAGTAGAGTATAGAGTAGGAGATAAGGTGTACGTAGAAGCGACCAATATCTCAACAGATCGACCAGCTAAGAAACTGGACGACAAGAGACACGGTCCGTTTGAAATACTGGAAAAGATAGGCGAATCGGCATATAAATTAGCGCTACCACCGACATGGAGGCCTATTCATCCAGTTTTCAACGAGATAAAGCTTACACCGTACAAAGAACCACAGTTCCCTTCCCAACAGAAACCTAAACCAATACCGCCGGTAATAGTGGACGGACAAGAAGAATACGAAGTCGAAGAAGTTTTAGACTCACGTCTAAAAAGAGGGAAATTGGAATACTTAGTACACTGGAAGAACTATCCAAAAGAGGAACGCACGTGGGAACCCGAACAACATCTAAACAACTCACCCGATAAAGTAAAAACATTCCACGATAACAACCCTAGTGCACCTCGACGGATCCGATTTCAATTACATTTCCAACCCTTCGAAAACTTCACAACGACTAGAGTCCGAAAACAATTGTTTAATTGGGAAAACGGAAAGATGGACCCCTACTTTCGGGACGAAAGTCCTAAGGAGGGGGTAATGTCACGACTTGAACCAGAAGCGCTAGTCTGAGCGCTAATTTCCTTTTTCATTTTCTTTGATATCTGATCACATGACAGATAAGATATGTTAAGCTGCTGCTTTAGCGCGGATAACATAAATACGTAGTTATATCAGATCACGTGACCATCACGTGACATAAGCCTAGAATCATTACAAAGAACATCAGTCAGCGCCTCATGGCTGCTGCATGTTAGCTCAGTCAGCGCCTCATGGCTGACTTTCAGAAACATATATATAGTAGACCATCATGTACATATTTTCCTCAGTTGTTGATTAATTCTCAATCGTTACTTGAAAACGCTACTTGTTTGATTTAAGCTTTTATCCCTCCGTTAACTCGGTATAGGGGATAGAGGTTTTACAGTGCCTACATTCAAGATAACATCTTTATTGCCTTTGGCAAGCATCTGGCCCACCTTGACCTGCCATAGACATGGATATGTCCCTAGCTTCTTCTGTGTGACCCTTCAAATGTTGGAAACAGATATCACATCCATCTCTGCCTGCATCCTTAATAGGGTGATTTGAAGCCATTGTATGGTGAGAATGGCACTGTATTTCTCGAAAAAAGATGGAGTCAATAAGATGTTTTCACATATTTCAAGGTCTGACACTGGTGAATGTCACTGTCACTGTGGCCCAACTCACCTTGTACCCCAACCCCTGTTCTGGATTCTCTGATACCTGCTCTCCCGGATTTATTTTGCATAGAGCCGGAAAATGAGGATGCTGAAGACCTCACTCTGGCTCAAGCAATTGCCTTGCTTGCCCAATTGTCCAGACATAGCCCTGACAGTGTCTCCGCACGCACTAAGATCAGGGAGCTGAACACCTTCAATGGCTCTGACCCACAAAAACTCTGCTCCTTCATTATGCAGTGCCAACTGAATTTCAATGACCGTCCGGGCGCATTCTGAACTGACAAAGCAAAGATCAACTACGCTATCTCCTTCCTTAAGGGAATGGAGTTAGATTGGTTTGAGCTGGATACCCTGGCCCCAGACAACCTTGCTATCATTCCTCTCTGGATGGATGACTATTCCGTCTTATCTTGGCATTCATTTCCAGCATGGTAAGAGCATATTCCAACAAAACCATCAACAACTACCTAGCTGGCTTGCTAGCCTTGCACATACTGCAGGGGCTACAATAGACAATCAATGACCACAAGGTTGCTTCCCTCATAGCCGCAGCCCTTGCTCTAACACCTCCAACTGCCAAATATCTGCCATGTCAGCCATTTACCAACTAGACTTTTCCTCCCCACTCAGCACAGCCGTCTATGCTTGCCTCACCATCATGTTCTACATGGCGGCCCAATTTGGTGAATTCACCATTCCAAACTTACAGGCCTTCAACCTCAACGTTCACCCATCACAATCAGGCGTCCACATTGACACAGATTGCAACAGATTGACGTCAACCATTTTCAAACTACTGTGTACCAAATCATTGCCACTAGGAGAAGAGGTCTCCTGGTCCACACAAAATGGACCTTTGGATCCTGCCACCACCTGGCAACTACACTTACAGATCTGTTGTTATCCTTCTCACAACAATCACATAGTCTCATACAAATGGACACAAGGGAAGAAATCAGGCATTAATCCCCTGACAAGATCAACTTTCTTAACAACCATCAACAAATCAATGTGCGCAGCCAGTATCAAACTTCCACCAAGTCATGGCATCCACATTGGTACTACATTAGAATATCTCCTATGAGAAGTCCCCTTCGCTGTCATGAAAGTAAAAGGGAGATGGGTGAGCAATGCCTTTTCAGTGTATTTGTGGAAACATGCCCAAATATTAGCGCCCTACATGCAGGCTGCTCCAGAGACACACACTGCTCTCATCAGACGTACAACAGGCATACCACCAGTGCTTTGACATTTATGTGAGCCACCACCTTTTATCTTCTAACCCCTTGGGAAAAAATCTTCACTGCTTACATTGATAACATCTCCTATCATGAAAGGGTTAGCAGCTTACTTTTTTTCTCCACAGGTCTATGGTTTGGTCAGCTCAGAAAGAGCCCATGCCCAATCACAAACTAATACATTAACAAGTACATGATCATTTCTTCCATACATAATATATCAATTTCCTCTTTTCCCACTAAGTGAATAGCAAAGACCCCAACCTAGCATCTTTGGGGAAACAAGCTATGGGTGATCCGGGAGACCAGAGGGGGTCTCCAAAAATCAAAGCACAGAGATCTAGCAATATATGGTTAGTCAATTGGTAGCTGATGCTCCGCAAGTATAGCCAGGGAGAACATCAATGTCATGCTAATGGGCAAAAAGAGGTGCATGCAACTGATAGTAGGAATGATGTGGTTGATAATTAAATTTCCCTCAGCGGTTACTTTTTTAAGCTTGTCAGAGATGTATAAGAGGTGACTATTTTCAATTCTTACCTTTTTTTGGCATTCTTAGCAAATTTGTAAAGGTCCCATGGTGAAGTGCCCTTCATGGCAGCAACTGAAACATGAAGACCCAGACCAGCAATAAGTACTAATAAATATATAGAGCCTCCACCAACAAGGGCTGCAAACTTGCTTCCAGTCAAGTGCCAGTCTTGGAACATTCTTTTGCTGGGTTTGTTAGACAGATGCTCAATTTCTTGATTGTATATGTATATTCCATTGAGAGAGAGACGTGTCTGTATTTTGATGCTACAACTTGAGAGATGAGCAAAAAACATTGAATATGAGAGAAAAACAAGTGAACTTATCTTTGACATTTTATGACAAAGTGCATAAGTTTGACCATCAGAAGGATGTTGATAGCTGTTACAATTGACATACCAGCATCTACTTACGCTTCACTTTTGTACTTCTACTTTTATTTTCCAAGTCACATGACCAGTCATGTGACCATTTACTTTACTTTACATTTTCGGACTTTTTCATAGTCACATGACCAGTCATGTGACACATCACCTGACCAGTGTCTAGACTCATCATGTGACCGGTCACATGCTAAACATCGGACTTTGAACTTTATTTACAACTGTACAGTACCTCATGTATTTTAGTATACATACAAGAGCAATACATGGGGAAGGACTCAGTGAGTCCTCCTGTTGTCTAGCACAACCCACTCACTGCAGCCAAAGGGGTAACCACTCCCCATCATCTTCTTTATAGTGTGTTCCTGTGTGCGCCGGAGTAAATAACTCTTGGTTGTTACAATAGCTATTTCCTTGCAACAAACAACAACTGACATAAGTGATTTGTTGAGATATGCTCTCTTCTGGATTGCAGACTTGACATTCAAGAGCTAAGCTGCTGGGTTGTGTGTGTCAGAGCCCCAAAAAGTGGATAAAAGAGTGGCAACGATGGCATTGTTGTTCTCGCTTGTGTTGATCCAGGGACTACTTTGTTGTCACCATGTACCACTGGAGGAAACCGAGCCAAGTGTCCCATACAAATTGTGCACACAGATGTTGGAGGACCAATCAAACCAACTTCCAGGGAGGGTTTTCGGTACTGGATTATCATTGTAGATGATTTCTCCAAATTTCCATGGATATATTTCCTAAAACATAAAAGTGAAACACTGGAAGGATACAAGCAATGGAAAGAAGATGTCCAAACATTCTTCCGGACTCATTTGGGAGAAGAAAACTTCACTCCACTATACACAGAATTCCTCCGGAGCAATGGGGGAGGAGAATATACTGGCAATGCATTCAAAAATCAACTCCGAGGAGATGGTGTCATCCAAGAAACTACAGCTGCAGATACTCCGGAACAAAATGGCATTGCAGAACGCATGAATCAGACATTGGCTACATTAGCAACCACTATGCTCCATGATTCCAAGCTCCCAAAGTCATTTTGGGTAGATGCCATGCAAACAGCTGCATATATCATAGCACGCAGCCCAGCATCAGGACTCCATGGAAAGACCCCATATGAAATACTGTTTAAAAGGAGAGTTGATCCAACTTTGTTTCACCCTTTCGGATGCCAAGCATATGCCTTGATTCCGAAAGACAAAAGGCAAGGGAAGTTTTACTCCAAGGGGCACAAAGCCATAATGATTGGCTACACACATGGAAAGCAAGCCTACAAACTCCTAGACACTGAAAAACGGACTGTGTTTTCCAGTCGGCATGTTATATTCAATGAATCCGGAAAGGTACAAAAGGATGACACTGCTCCCTGGAACACAGACACTAGCACAGATCAGTGGGGGGGACTCATTCCAGAGAATGCTCACTATCCAGACCAAAAAAAATTGGAGGAGGATGATCCTGACCCTCGGATCTGAGATCCAAATGAATTGCAAAAGGAACCACATCTCCAAGGAGATGTTCCACAAGCAATGGAACCATATCAGCATGAAGATGTTCCGAAAGCAGTGGGGCAATACCTCCGTGGAGATATTCTGAGAGCAGTGGGAGCACCTGATCAGCTAAAACACCCTCCACAACAGTCTCTACAACCAAGACCTGAACACTGGCCATCTTCAGAACGGAAAGCCAAAGTAGAGTTACAGTCAGTGGGAGGACAGCCCCTCAACATACAGCCAGCTGATGTGGAAAAAGTCCGAATACAGCTAGACAGCCTGTCCATTGGATCAGCTTCTGGAAGGCATACAACACCTCCAAGGAGTCATCCAATGCCTCCGAGGAGTGATTCAACACCTTCAGGAGTGAGTGGGGCAACAAATACACAAATACATCTACTCCCTGGAGTACCTGCACAAGTTCCTAAAAGAGCAGTCATGATTCCATTTCCACATCAACGTACAGAGCTTACATTTGAGCAGGGATACAGCAAGTTATAACAAAAAATGAAGACAACAACAGACCTAGTTGGATGGAAATGCTGCAAAGTCCTTCAACAGCTTATCCACCCGCATTATGTGAAGATTCTCATCCTGTGTGGCCATATCGAGGTAACCATATCAACAAATGCAATCTTTTGCTCATCATTGAGCTGTGTCTTAATCTGCCCAGCCATTCTAATGGCCTGACTCCTTGTGTTCAAAGGCTCAATGTGTCAAAAAGATGAAGACAAAGCAATGTTTAAAGATCCACCACCAGATACGCTGCCAGTGAAAGCACTCTCTACAATGTTCAAGAAATGGTACCTGAAGTCATTGTGCTTGGCATTGCGCTGTTCCTTGTTATCCACCATCCTCTGCATCTGTTCCTTCACACCATTGATTGCAGTGGCTCCAGAATAATGTGGGGCTTTGCTTGGGGTGGCAGAAATTACAGAGGTACTATCAATGGCTGAATACTTGCGTTTTCCGGAGGACGTGATGCTGACAGATGTGCTAGTAGGTTTGGAGTGGATAGATGACACATACAAGGTGCCAGATTCACTCCCATTCTTTCTTTTGCCTTTTTTGGTGCTAACAACCGCCACTCTTTCAATTGCCTCTCTTTTTGCACCCTCTTCATCACCTTCGTCTCTCCGTCCTCCCCTCCATCATTGCCTTCAGCATCCACATCCACCCTATCTTTACTCACTGAACTGATTGTTGGAGATTGTGCTTGAGATGCACAGAAAACATGAGTCCCTTTTGCCCGGCTTGGTAGAATAGCTGTGATCGAGTCATACCACCTCCACCCATCTGAAGCTAACTGGTTGTAGGTTGACTTAACATCTTTTGACTTGCTCTGCAAAAAAAAGGTAAGCCCGTCCCATACCTGCTGAGGATAAAGATGCTCACTTTGAGGAAAGCATCCCAAATGTGCCTGTTTGCATCAGTAATCTTCAGTCCACATTTTACATCAAATCCAAGCCCAGATGTGTTGATCAACTGATCTACACAACTAAGCTCCTTCTTTAGCTGAAATAACAGTTAGCAATGAAGCTTTAAAATGTACTTCTACTACTAACACTGAACCATTTGTTACAGATTGAGTCGGCTGTTTTGATGGCTCCTTTTGTTACGACAATTTTTGGACCTTTAAATTTCATTCTCCTCTTTAACTGTCTTCTATAGTATTCACACACTGTGCCATGCAGCATTTTCCATTTCATTCAAACTCCACCTTCTTGCGCTGCGCTGCCTTTCTTTATTTTAGCTACAAGTATCTCATGCAGTGGAGCTGGTCAAATGGGCTGTGCCCCATGACATCATCAGCCACTGCCTCCATCAACTGTATAGTATACATGTACAAATGGTCTGCAGTAGTATAAATACCCCAATAGATCAAGGAGACTCCTCAGTGAGTCCTTCTGTTGTTTACCCACAACAAAATTGGTCCTACCTTAAGGAGATTATCCTCTCCTCCACTCATCACTCTTTGCTTTTTTTTGTTGTGCGCCAGAGTATACAAACTCTTGGTTGTTACACCTTTTGTTTTTAAAGGAGCCAGATTACCCTCGGCCAGGTTATAAAATTGAGGCTTATACCCCCCACCCTCTCCAAGCAGGCCAACGTGCTCCTCAGCAAGTTCAAGCAAGTTTTTGGTGTCACTTTCTGTCCAGATGCACTTTGGCACCTTTTTCTTCTACTGTAAAGTGGTTGTGTTTGTATCTGTAGATTTATTGATGCCAGACATCCTTAATGAATGCAGAGGGTATTGTTGAGTGACCTTAGAGTGTCTTGGGGAGGTTCTTTGCACCATTGATGCAGCTGTTTTGCATAATGACTAGTAGCTATCTTTACTTCCATCTACTCAAGGCATGTGCCCTTCACCCCATGCACATTTGACGCCGGTCGGAAATGAAATTTGGAACACTCTGTCAGCCACTTGGCACATCAAAAATCATAGCCATGGTTTTTGTAATTTGGTTCCCGTACATGCTCTTAGTTTTATTATAATTCCCTCAAGTGTGCTTTGTTACCCAACAAAAGGAAAGCCGGTGACACCTGTTGCTTTTATGAGAACAACTGTTTCCTTAAATGGGAGTATGTAGACCTTTTTGCAAGCGAACTTCTAAGGCACCCTTAAGATAATAAACATAATATGCACCATGAAGAGAGCAAACAACATGGACAACAATGGTAGTGAGGATATCGGCCTATTATTATGTGCAGAAAACTGGAATATTAGGAAAAATGAGGGTAGCTATATAGAACTTTATAGCACTAAAAGTGCTCATAAAGCTGCTATAGTGGCCAAACCTGTCATATGACCTCTGCCATGTATAGAGCCTCATATAGCTGCTCTTATAGATGTTGGAAATTGTGATGCGGCTGATAAAAAAAACTAACACAGACAAGGTTTGAACTCTCAACCTTCTGGTCTGCTTTTTACTAACTAAACAACCTATAGCCACACATTACACATTTATCCACACACCATGAAAGCTTATAAAATATATTATACAGACGTCATATATTGACCTTTTATGGACTTGTGTTATTTTTTTTACCCATTGTCACAACTTATATTTGGATAAATTATTACTTTTATTTTTATAAATATCAGTGGTACAAACCATCACTTCACTGATACAGACTACATAATTGATTAATACATAATTTATTAACTCTTTTAAGCAGCTTTAGTTATATTATAACTGTGATCTTTACAGCTACGGGAGCTATGTAGGCTACCATAGGCTACAAGAGCACTTATAGCACCTTGCCTCTGTTAATAAACTTGACCACAAACACTTCTGGCCTCTTTCTATCATTGAACAAGTTTATTAAATTAATCCAGAATTTGGGGGATATGTAGATACTTTAGAAGCAATCTGTGGAAAAGAGTCATCTTCAGCTGTTTGAAGTATGTGGCACTGGTGACGTCTGGATTCTTGCAAGGAACAAAGTTGTGAGACATGCTCATTTGCAGGATCAACAGGATTTGCAGGTAGTTTACATTGAATGGACCATGAATGTAGAGTTTGATCTCTCCATAACACTTTAAAAATGAATTGCCAAGGTAAACACTGGGAATCGCAAAACATCTATTATTTCTTGTCACTGGACCGGAAAGTAATGCCATGTGTAGCAGCAATAGTATGAAGGTCTGTGACCCTTAAAAATTCATGGAATCATTCAAAAGATGTATTCCAGTCAAAGTAAATGACTGCAACTAATTGACAGTCGGGTGAAAGGTCACAAGGGTGAATAATTTGTTGTGCAAGAAGCACATTATGGAACTTGAATTTTTGTCTCAATTGATAGGTACTCATTTATCGTGCATCCACCACCCATTCAACTTCAAACTCTTCTTCACCTTTCTGGGTGACTACAACTGGTCCAGGCTGGGGGAAGTTGCTGAATCATGGTGTTTTGTCCTGCAGTGGTGGGAGAGTATGTTTTGCATATTGCGTGAGGGAGTATATACATACAATGTGCGTGGTGGAGACCCTGGGATGGTTAGTACCTTCACATGATTATGTTATGTAGTTATAAATGTGGAATAGCAACAGAACTGTCTTGATCTGGGTACATCACTGCTGCAAGTTTGTAGCTATTTGTAGCAGTTTGCTCAATATAAAGGGTAAAACCCAGGCACACTTTAGTTGAATACTGGGAGCAGGTAGAAGCCTGGGAATTTTGCATTACTACAAAGTCCAGGGAGTATTGGATTGCTACGAAGCCCAGGAACACCGGATTACTACAAAGCTCAGGAGTATTGGACTGCTACAAAAACTGGGAATATTGGACTACTATTACGTAGTATAATGGACCCCAGGTTTCTATTAAATTGTGGTATTATTGATCGATCCACTATTCTAGTTATTCCTCAAACCACTATGCCTTGCCTCTGGAATGAGTCCTTTGCCTTTTCTGAGAATTGGTTCCACATCCTGATTTGCCTCTCTGTATATACTACATGACTGGTGTGACAACACCAACAAGACACAGTCTTGGGGCACTGGAGCACAACAAAAACAACACTCAAGAGAGTAATGAGAAGGAGGGATTTCCCCTCAAGGTGCGACCGGGTTAGTTGTTGGTAGACAACAGGAGGACTTGCTGAGTCCTTCCCCATGTATTACTCCTGTATATATACTAAAATACATGAGGTACTGTACAATTGTAACTAAAGTTTAAAGTCCGATGTTTAGCATGTGACCAGTCACATGGTGAGCCTAGACACTGGTCAGGTGATGTGTCACATGACTGGTCATGTGACTATGAAAAGTCCGAAAATGTAAAGTAAAGTAAATGGTCATGTGACTGGCCATGTGACTTGGAAAAAGTAAAAGTAAAAGTATGAAAAGAGAAGTGTAAGTGGGTACTGGTACATCAATTGTAACAGTGGTTCCAGTTCAAGTTCTGTGGTGAATACTGCCAGGGCAGGAGCTCATCCCATAGATTTGTCACATTCAAATTGTCCACACTGCTGGAATAGGTAGTATTCTGGCTTGCCACCCAGGAAAAGGTTCCTGTTGAGGGATATGATTGTTGGTGTGTTCACCTTGACCCACGGATAGCACAGAACACAATGACAATCCATAAGTGACCAGTACAAATAAGTTTGAGCGGAAATTTACAGGGTTTGGTGGTAGGTTTGGGCTGTTGTTGAGCAGTTGAAGTAGAAGCTCCAAGTCATGGGTATGTATGTCAAGCACACGGAGCAACACCTCAGTACCAGATAAGGATAATTTCATGGCTTGGTAGTTGGCAGTTGGCAGTATATTGCAGAAAGGTCCTCAATTCCACGAAATGATTCCCATATTGCAAGAGGACAATGAGAAGTTGCAGGACATGGGTAAGATAGCTCCAGGATGTAAGTGAACAAACCAGTGCTTGAGCTTGCCACTCAGCAAGACCTCTCCGCTTGCTGCACTAAGTTTATCTCATGATGCCTTGTCTCGCCTTCCCCAGGAATTCTCCACCACCCCTTTCATGTCACACTATGCTCTCCTTGTTACGATAACACAATTTTTGGACCTTTCTTTCATTTTCATTCTCCGCTTTAACCTTGTATACTTTAACCTTCACACATGGTGCCACGCGGCACTTCCCCTTTTGTTCAAAACTCCTCTTTCTCGCGCCGCGTTGCCTTCTTCTTATTTTAGGTACAACTCTCTCACACAGTGGAGCTGGTCATGTAGGCTAGGCCCCATGACATCATCAGCCACTAAACTTTATCAACTGTACAGTACATAAGTACAAACACTCTGTATTAGTATATATACCCCAATAGATCCAGGAGACTCCTCAGCGAGTCCTCCTGTTGTATACCAACAAACTCTCTGCAGCTTAAGGGGTAATCACTCCCTCATCACTACCTTTATAGTGTGTTCTAGTGTGCGCCAGAGTAACTAACTCTTGGTTGTTACATTAGGACTCGCTCTTCTACTCTCTCGCACAATTGTGCAAAAAGTCCCACTGGGCACCCGGACTCCAGGGTGAAGGAGATTTGGTTATTGGTTAGGAATATCCCGCATAGCAGATAGGTGCACTCTTCACAACGGCCTTGTAGTGCTTTGGGAGAAGAACCAAAACCTTTGATACGTGGCCCCCAGCGTTAAGGGGAGTACTATAGCTCAACAGTTGGTGTGGAACCTCTGTTGGTAAGATTTTAGAATACAAAACTTCTTCTTGAAATACCTCTGACCGGGCCGGGCACTTGCCTCCGCCAGTCTGGAGAAGGGTTGACAGCTTAACAAGCGGACCACCCCCCTGACAACCGTTCGGACCAGGGTTTATTACGAATAACTTTTATATAAACTTTCAAATACTATAGTGTGGGTAGTCGGAGATTGAGATCCGATACTCAGCTGGGAAGGGGTAGATCCGCAGATAGGAAGCGGGGACCCCCAGTTACATTTTTCTTATTACTTTACAAAGAGAACAAGTTGACGTGTTGTCGCAACCAGATATCAATGCCCTGCTGCACAACATGCGTGCGCAGATTCAGGCGTTGACCACTCAACTTGCCGAGCTGCAGGCAAACCCCCCTGCGGCAACCCCCTCGGTAGAGAAAAAGTTCAACAAGAAAGTTGAAGTCGTCGCTGACCCTGGCACCTTTGAAGGAAACAGAGCGCAATTTGCCGAATGGTGGATCAAACTCCAGATTTGGGTTAAGGCAAACTAGGACACATTTGCCGATGACTTTGAGGTAGCCACTGCAGTGCTATCTCGACTAAAAGGACCTGTGGTGGGTTGATACGCCCAAGTAAGACTTCAGGAGTGCTACACTGCGGGAGTGTGGCCCACCTGGGACGATCTCGAAGTAGAGATCAAAAAATATTTCAAACCGCAAGCTGAGCGCAACTGGGCGCGTCAGCAAATCTGTTCCTTCAAACAAGGCAACATGAGGACGGATGATTTTGTAACCCAGTTCCTGGCCCTCTCCATCCAAGGGGGCCTTGGTTATGAACATGCAGTAGAGCTGCTGGAACGCAATGTGAACCCCCACATTGCAGAACAGCTTTATCTGCAGGATATGAGAAACGAGAACCTCTCTCAAGCAGCAGAGGAGGTTCGAAAAATAGGTAGGGCCATAGAGCTCTACAAAATGCACCAAGGTGGCGAGACCACCAAAAACAACACACCCCAGAGGCGCCCTGGGTCATCAAACCAACATAATCATTCTCACGGGTTCAAGCTGTTCGGGCTGCAACCAGGGCAGGGAGCCCCTATGGATATTGGCGCGGTCCAAGGAGGACAGATGCGCAGATTCAAAGGGAACTGCTATATTTGCGGCCAAGAGGGACACATGTCCCGGGATTGCAGAAACGGGGTGCAGGCTGCCCAACAAAAAATAACCAAGGGCGCCAGGCGCGCCAATTAGAATCCGAAAAACCAGACAATTGGCTCCAGACTCTGGCCGGTCGTTCGTACGATGAAATCTGGGCCTTTTTCTACGATCAGCAGGCTGCTGAAATGAAGGCTCAGGGAAAAGAGTTCGGAGCTTAGGTCACTTGGGTGCCTTTGCTCCTATGAACAACGTAGTAAACCACAACAAGGTGGCCCCTGCTCCGGGGTGTTGCACAAGCAATAAAGGAAAGACGGGGATGGCTCCCCAATTTGTAAATAGATTTCTAAATTTGTCATCTGAAGTATGTACTTATATGAAGCACTGTGAATGTAATATTTATAATACTACCGCTGCACCAGCGTCTCCCTTGGAGTGTGGCCCCGGCGAGACAAACAATAGGGTGCTTGATTCTGGTAAAAATAAAACAGAAAAACATGTAACTTTTGATACCTCTTCTTCTTTGTTGGAGCCACCCTTTCCCAAAATCCCAAGGCATGTGTTGATGCGCACGTATTTATTCCAAAAGGAGATCTGTTTAGATGTTGGTGTGGAAAATCTTGCCCGGGGCATAGTACACCCAACCAGCGCACTGCTTGATTCAGACGCTAACAAAATTTTCATAGATCAGGTCTGGGCGGAGCAAATTGGACTCCCCCTTGTAAAATTAGATGTATCTATTCCCGTCTATAACGTTGACGGTACGCTTAACGCGGGTGGCTGTATCACACACAAATGTTCTTTTGTGGTCGAATACCAAGGACACAGAGAACGAGTCACTGCCAAAGCTACCCAACTAGGGAAGATTAATTTAATCTTAGGCTGGACCTGGCTATTTAAACACAATCCTGAGATCGACTGGCAGACAGGGGTTGTCACATTGTCACATTGCCCTCAGGAGTGTGTAAACTTGGGTAAACCGAATCATGTCCGTCACAATGAGCGTCTTGAGAAGATAAACGCTGGTCACGTTTATGAGCTCAGATCTTTAGAAAAGATTGACAATGACGATGATGAGGTAAAACCCGAAGAAGAGATTAAGAGGCTGGTACCTCCCGAGTACCACGACTTCTGGAAAGTCTTTTCAAAACATAAATCAGAGCACTTCCCAGAGGCTAAGCCTTGGGACCATGTTATAGATTTGAAGGACACCTTCAAACCGAGAAAAGGACACATGATACCACTCTCTGCTCCAGAAAGAGATGAGGTATCAAGTTTCATAGATGAACAGCTTAAGAAGGGTTACATCAGACCTTCTAAAAGCCCTATGACGTCCCCAGTGTTCTTCATTCCTAAAAAGGATGGTAAGAAGCGTATGATTATGGACTATTGTTACGTAAATGAGCACACAGTTAAAAATGCGTATCCACTACCTTTGATCAGTCAGCTAGTAGACAAATTGGCTGGTGCCAAGATCTTGACAAAGATGGATCTCAGATGGGGGTACAATAATGTACAAATCAAAGAAACTGACTCTTGGAAGGCCGCGTTCACGTGCCACCGAGGATCCTTTGAACCCCTTGTTATGTTTTTTGGGTTGACCAACTCACCGGCGACCTTCCAGAACATGATGAACAAGATCTTTGCGGATATGGAAAACTGTGTCGTCATTTACATTGACAATTTGTTAATATTTACAAAGTTGGACGATGAGGCTGAGCATGATAGGACCATGCAAGAAGTCCTTTAACGCTTACAGGAACGGGACCTATTTGTCAAACCTGAAAAATGTAATTTTAAAGTGAAGGAAGTAGACTTCCTTGGTATGATCATAGGCCAGAATGGAATCAGGATGGATCCTGAGAAAGTTCAAGCTATATTGGACTGGCCAGGACCTACTTGCGTCAAAGGAGTTAGGGCCTTCCTTGGCTTAGACAATTTCTACCGAAGGTTTATTGAAAACTTCGCAAAAATCACAAGACTGTTGAACAATCTCACTAAAAAGGACATTGTTTTGCACTGGGGCGCCAAGGAACAAGAAGCTTTCGATAAGCTTAAACAGGTGTTTACAACGGCGCCCATATTAGCATTTCCAGAATTAGACAAAGAGTTCCGGCTAGAAACCGACTCTTCTGATTTTGCTACTGGGGCTGTTCTATTGATTAAATGCCCTGACGATATTTGGAGGCCTTGTGCCTATTTATCGCATAGTTTGTCGCCTACAGAGCGCAACTATCAAATATATGATAAGGAGATGCTGGCCATCATTAGAGCTCTAGAGCACTGGCGGCACTACTTAGAAGGTGCTAGACACCAATTTGAAATTTGGACTGATCATAAGAACCTAGAGTACTTCATGACGGCCCGAGACTTGAACTGAAGACAGGCCCACTACACGGTATACTTGTCAAGGTTTAATTATAAATTAATTCATAAGCCTGGAAGCTCTATGGGGAAAGCGGACACTTTGTCCAGAAGAGAGGATCATGCCAACGGCATTGAAGATGACAACAAAGGTGTTACCTTGATAGACCAATCAAGGGTTGCCAATGTTAGAATTGGACAGGATTCCAATCTTCTGGAAGTCTTCAAGAAAGACATCTCCTTAGAAGAGAAGGCGCACCTTGATGGCAATGAAAACTATTTATGGGAAGACGGGCTTTTCCATTTTAAAGACAAAATCTATGTGCCTGAGTCCGCAAGGATCAAGGCAATAGATAGACATCACAATACTCCAGTGGCTGGGCACCCTGGGTGGCAACAAACAATGGAGTTGATCTCCAGAAATTATATGTGGCCTGGCATGGTCAAAGATGTACAGGAATATGTAAAATCCTGTCTGAAGTGTGCCATGGCTAAGAATTCTCACCAACCGCCGGCCGGTAAACTTATGCCGAATCCAATACCAGCTGGTCCCTGGCAGGATATATCGGTTGACTTTACGATGCATCTGCCCAAATCAAATGGGTATGATTCAGTAATGGTGGTAGTGGATCGCTTCTCCAAAGAAGTGGTATTCATACCCACCAATAAAACCATTACCGCTGCGGGTACAGCAGATTTATTTAAAGATTTTGTATGGTCTATCCATGGGTTACCAGAAACGGTTATCTCCGATAGAGGACCTCAATTTGCTAGCAAATTTACGAAAGAATTATGCCGGATGCTGGGCATCAAACCTAAGTTATCAACGGTGTTCCATCTGCAGACCGATGGACAAACGGAGAGACTCAACCAGGAGTTGAAGCAATACCTCCGTATATTTATTAATGACAGACAGACGGATTGGGCCAAGTGGCTAAAGATAGCCCACTTCTCTTATAATATCAATGATTCCTCCCCCTGTTTGAGCTGTTGCCTCCTCAGCTCGCCAAACGGACATATCATCATGCTTATACTCATTCCCAGGATCCTGCATCCTTTAACGCCAAGTAGTGGTGTTTGTCAAATCATCATAATTTCTATGGCCTTCCTTTCCTTATTTTGCACTACTACAGCAGCAACGCTAATAATGGCAGCAACGTTAAAGTCAACTATGATCTCAATGCACCAAAAAAGGCACCTGATAACCCGAGGCAGGGCCAGGCGCTGGACATTGCCTGGTCTACCTTGTCCACTAAGAATATTGGGTATGGGTATGTGACGGTTTCACAGGCTCTGGGCATGCCACAGACTAGCAGATTAGATATAAAAGACATGTAGCTTGCTCACTTATAGAGTATCTTGCTCTTTCCCCTTGTCAGAACCGTGGCCTCTTTGAAGTACGGAGCTGCAGAGTACAAGGGCGGAGTAATGGAGTGTAGAGGACAAGATGGGAATTGGCTTAGCTTGTGCGCTAGACCCTTCCACAAACCTTGGTCCCTAACTCGTTGGAAGTGGACATAATTGCATATGTCCGAGAGGAAGCAGATTTCAGAACCACTGGAAAAGGCCCAAACGAGTCAGCATTAAATGCCCAAAAGAAAAGGGGAAAAGGAAAACCACAAAAGCAAAAGAAAAAATGTAGCAATCTTAACTGCAAACAAAAGGGCCATACAACTGAAAAATGCTGGAGAAAAGGCGGAGGAAAAGAAGGGCAAGGCCCACATCAACAAAAGAAAAGAGACCAGGCCAATGCAGCCCACGAAATCACTGATGACAAGAACTACGCATTCACATCATTTGAAATGCCCAACATTGCCTCCCACACAAAATCCTCACATGACTCAGATATCATCATAAACTCCGGGGCCATGTTCCACTTCTGCCCCAACAAATCAAAATTCAAATGATTTACTCAAATACAACCGCGCTCTATCAGCATAGCCAATGGAGCTGATCTCCAGGTAACCGGGAAGGGCGACATAGACATCTATCTCCCAAATAAAAATCAACGCACAAAAATAACCCTGAAAGATGCACTATACATACCAAGAATGGCCGTAACACTTATTGCTGTAAGCCAAATCGACAAAGCGGGCTGTACCAAGTTTCTGCAAAAAAACATGCAAACACGGCTTGAACAGAACCAAGATATGTTTCAGCACAATACATGCATAAATGCATGGGCCATATTGCCTTCTCAGCCATCAAAAATATGACGTCCAAGGATATGATCCAGGGCCTAATAGTGACCAAATCACCAGACAACAATTTCTGTGAATCATGCGTCAAAGCAAAAATTACCAGAACACCAGTCCCAAAAGAAACCCTCACATGCGCTACAAAATATGGTGAACGGATCCACACAGATGTAGGGGGACCCATGCAGACCAAATCAATAGGAAATAAATCTTGTTATGTATCATTCACAGATGACTTCTCTCGCAAAACGGCAGTATACTTTCTATCAAAAAAGGACAAAGTATTATCAGTTTTCCAAGAATTTGTACGAAACTTCACTACACAGCACAAAAATGCTAAAATAAAATGGCTGAGATCAGATGGTGGTGGAGAATACATAGGAAAGGAGTTTAAAACCTACCTATCAAAACTCGGTATTCACCACAAAGAGACTATCCACGACACTCCAGAACAAAATGGCGTGGCCAAACGACTCAACTGTACAATAGTTGAAAACACTCGCGCCATGATGTTCGAAGCAAAACTACCAAAACACATATGGGCCGAAGCAATCAATCACGCTGTATGGCTAAAAAACTGACCCCCAACAAAATCCTTCCCTGAAAAAATGCTGTACAAAATGGTGAACAAAAAAAGGATAAACCTATCAAATATACAT